CCCTTCTGTGAATGTCCTTCACAGAAGGGAAGCAAAGTGCGGCTGCTGGGGATAGGAAGACAATATCTTGACCCTGTGTAACGCAGCTTGTTCCAATATGATGGGAAAACTTGAAGCAACCTTATTTGTGGTTAAGTTTAGAAAGATGAGGAACAGTGAGCGAAGAATTAATATTGTGGGCAAAGGCCACAAACAGCACTGAGCTGGGGATCGCCTGGGTTCTCTGAAAGAGACACTAGCCATCACTGCCAGCAGTAAAATCATTTCTTCCCGTTTCCTTAGAAAAGAACTTCTAAGGAACCTTCTAAAACCTTCTGGGTTTGTGTCACTGGTTGCTACGTAATCTTGTAAAGCAGATGTAGCTGCGTTGCCATCTCTACATGACAGTTTGTTCTTTAGCTTTGGTTCAGCTGGTTGCCAGCACTGCAGTGATTGCTGAGGCAAAAAAGTAAGGCTTTGCTCATTAATGTCACTTTTATGTTGCTTTTACTTAACTTGCATCCATGCTTCTGTATTTATTATTCACCTGTGCCTCCTCAGCAATCTGGTGTACAATGTAAAGGGTTTTTTTGGGGAATGGGGAGAGTGCAGTAGAAGTTGTCCATGGACAAGTGCTCTTGAAAAGCCCTGGTGTTTTTCCAGTGAAGCAGCCATGTTCATCTTTGTGGCGGGGAAATAAACGCAGCTTGAGGCAGGCAGGGTGAAATGAAAGGAGGGGGAGATGCGTGTGGGAAATACCTCCACAAGACCAAGGCTCCGCGAGCTCCCGCAGTGCCCTGCCCGGCACGCTGTCCCTGCCCCGAGCAGCACCTGCACACTGAGTAACGGCTCCCTCCTCGCACAGGCTCTGCCAGCCAGAAAGGACGCGTCATGGGGATCCTGAGGAGCCTGGGCGCCCTCGCCAGAGCCCTGGGACCCATCGTCTCTGCCACAGGTGAGTGTGGCCCCGTGCTCTTTCCTGCCTTTGCCAACATACAGCGATGCTCTGGGCCCCCACAGCCCATTGGGTTGGAAGGGGAAGGGGAAGCACAGCCCATTTCAGAGCTGTGAAGTTGTCTTTGCAGAAGCAGGTACCCCTGAGGGCTGCACCAGGGGCAGGACACAGCCCTGGTTAGCACCAACGAAAGCCTCGTGCATGAGTTTAAAAAGAAGTTCCTACAAGCAGAGATGATAAACTAGACAGTGGGTAGTGTTGCCTGGCGTTTTACAGATTCCAGCTACAGCATCAAACTAAGCGAGCCCTGTGCGTAGCTGTGCGGGCAGAGGGGCACCAGAGAGGTCCGGGCCCTGATGTGCAGAGGGAGATGGAGGCTGACCAGGAGCCCTGGCCTTTGCTGGGCTTATTGTTTGCCATTTTAGCAAGTAACCATGCCTGCTGAGGGGCCACCCCAGCACTGGGCAAGCAGGAGTCAGTGAAATGAAGGTCTCCTGTGCTGTGGTAACTGGTTCCCCATACCTCATGAAGCTGCATCCCAAGATTATACAAATCAAGTAGGGACAGTCCATCATGTGCAGTAAAGAACTTTTCAGCTTTAAAAGCATCTGTAACCTATAAACTAGGTTAAAGAGTCCACGCTGTACTACTGCCCCATGGCTTTGGCTTAGGCCAAGCCCAGACTGTGCCTAAGGAGCACAGGCGCCCCCTGCACAGGGTTCCGTTCCCCTGAGCCATTACAGGGCAGAGGGACAGAGTAAGGGGAAGCAGCCGGGCAACAAGTCAGAGCTCAAAAACTCGGACCTAATGTTGAGTTTTGAGCAAAGCCAGAACCCTTTCCCTGGGCCTTGGACTCCTCAGTGTTTCCCATAAGGGGACTGATACCAGCAGTGAGAGACCTTCAAGAGCAGCATGGCCAGTGCCAGGAGCAGCTGTAGCGGAGGTGCTGGGGCAAAGAGTTAGAGTTGCCTTGTGGCTAAAGCAGAATGTGTCACTAGGATCCATTCCCATTGCTGTACTGGCAAGAACAACAGTATCCTATTTAAAATTACCACTTTTAACATGCCGTTTCCTTGGAAGAGACCCAGCATTGCTCTTAGCTACCTCCTCCTTATAGGTTGTATGCCAGCAAGGCTGCGCAGTGAAAGATGGAGTAGTTCTGAGATTCCAGTTGCATCAGTAAGTTGTGGAGAGCGGCAGCTGTGAAGGGCGGTTTACACAGATGCAAGGTCAGCACACTAACCAGCTCAATCTTGTTCCCTTTGCAGTTTACTGGCTGGCAGGGGCCGAGGTTTGCTTCACCGCCTGTGGAGCTTTGTTCCTCATCCCCTTCGTTTTACTTGGTTCTATAAAACAACAGGCAAAGGAGGAGTAGGCAGTAACCACCGAACTGTCACCAGCTTCCAGAGACCTCCACGAGACCGGACTCTTGGCACCTGACTCTGCTGATCAAACAGGAAGAGGAGGATTTTCATCTTCTGGGAGGGGATATGCGATGACCATTTGCAGCAATGACAGACGTCAGGTTTCTTACGGCCCACCATGAGCAGCTGTGTTCAAGACAGGCTCCAGCCAGCTTTGCAAATAGAAAAAAACCTCACACAAAACAGTTAAGCACTCAGCAGACAAGCAGAGTGATCATCAGACAAGCAGAGACGGGCGCGACAGCAACAGGGCACAGTGCTGTCCCAGCTCACCACCACATGCTGCTGGGCACCACGCTGTGGTGTACACGGAGCTCTTCCAGGCTCCTCTCCCTCCGTCCCTAGCACAAGCCTGACCAAAGCCACTGCCCGAAGCCTCTGGGAAAGGGGCTGGCTGGTGGCAGCTGGAAGGGAACAACTCCACAGGGCAGCTCTGTGGGGGAACCTTCTATACAGCTGTCACGAGATCTCCACTAACGCTCAGCAGACCTGGGAAAAGCTGTAGCAGCTGCCCCCAAACACAACGATCAGAAAACAAAAGCAAGAAGCATACTACAGCCTTCCTGAGCCTGACCAACACTTTGACATAGGGAAACCATTTTTAATATACAATTAGATTTTGAGAGAGGTTTTATATTTCTGATACTCTGTGATGTTTTTTGATAACCAAGCACTGTTCTTTCTGCATTCCAAATAAACTGTTACATTGTACATGTGTCCAGTCAGTTACTTACAGTGAAGAAGTGACACCTCTCTGAACCAAACCTGGCTGTTTGGCCCAGATTGGCCGGTTTTAAAAGCAGAGCAGGAAAAGACTTTTTTTTTGTTTTTAAAGATTTTTATTTGTGAGTAGAACTTAATGATACAAGAAAGAAAGAAAAATACAGGACTTTATTCTGCCCCAAAGTGTGTAACCATACCATACATGACTACATTTCATATTGTAATACAAAGAATTAAAAGAACAAACTACAAAATTAGAAATTAAGAGTCGTTGCATATGTGGTCAAGATAAATGGAGGGACTCCATTAAAGAACTGAAACATATAGCAATTAGTCATTTAGTTACGACCCTGCAATAAAACACAATTTAGCAAAATAAGTATTGTATGCTTCCTAGTGTACAGAGGACATACAAGGTTAAAGTAGAAGCTGAAAGCCGTTGGTGCCATGCAGTCCTGCCTGAACGTCCCTGCCTCTGGGTCTCCTGCACAGTGCTGCTCCTGCTCCCCTCCCACCCCCCTCTGCCCCTTCCGCAGCAGGTGACCTTAAGTTTCCCACCCCATCAGTTACCACCTCCAAAACCCTTTCCCTCCCGAGAAGCCTCACAGCTCTCCTTCTCCTTTCAGCTGTTTCCCCTCGGCTGCCTGAGACCAGCCCCAGGTACCAGCACCTCCCACCATCACCTCCTCCTCCTCCATCCAGAGCTGTCTCCAGCAGCTCCACCCACCTCTCCTTCGATGCTTTCTGCTGCATGAATGTAAGGCATTAGTTTTCTGCTATTTTACCCATTGCAATGTCTAATATTGTCCTAAAAGGTTACATCCATATCCTGTTTTATTACAGACACTTACTGTGAGTCAGCGGGTTTCCCTCTCCCACAGCGGGGTGTCAGTGTTTCTGCCGTTAACGCCAGAAATGCGGATGCCAGAAACCAGAAGCGGTTACCCACCGTCCCCGCTCTCAGCTGGGGTAACTACGCACGGTTTCTGGAGAATTCCTGCAAGCTTTACCTATCTGATCTTAAACTACTTTACTTTTACGATTAGTGATAGACAGAAGCATGGCAATAAGTGGAAAATAGTGAATTCGGTAGTGGAAGTGATTTTCTTTACCATGCTACATATCAAACAAACATTTAGAGCAAACTGTGAAGATACACCTTTAAGGTTACTTGGGATTTCTGTACTGTACTGCTGGCAACAACAACAACAAAAAATTAAAGAAATGCCAGTTTTTGTAAGTGAAAATAATTAATATAAAAAAAGGTTAAATATTCAGTGTAATGCATTTACATTTTTATCATGGGAAGGAACAAACACAAAAGGCCGCAAATAGGGTTTCTATGCAGCAGGTTTGTGTGTGCACCCAAGGGATTTTTAAGAGGGTGAAAAAACCCTGTGCTAAGGCCCAAAATACAACTGCCCATGCTTCACACCACCAGCTGAAAAACTTGTGAAATACTTCTAATACAGTTACTTTTTAACCTTTTCTAACAGCCAAATTGCCGTGTGACTGATTCTTAGGGAGGCGAGACTGAAAGACAGATTCCCCTTAAACTGTATTCACTAGAAAAATAAGATTGGGCTCTTTGAATGCACAACATGAGCGGAACACACCACAGTTATTTCAGTCCCAGACATCAAAGATGATTCCAAGTGCCAGTTATAAAATAAAACAAAGTGAAAAATACTTTCATTTTGTTACAATAGTCAGAGGGGAGAAAGAGAGGAAGGAAGGGATAGCCGCAAAGCCTGACTAAAACATGGTCGGTAATCACAAGCTTGCAGAAGTTTACACGTCAGTTCACCAATACATCCCCCTTGAAGTCACCACTGCAAAAGTGTCTTCTCTAGAAGTCACTAGTGAAGAGGAAATTTCCTTGTGACTTGGAACAGAATATCGGAAAAGAACACTTCTTGTGGTAAGCAATGGGTGCTTTATTTTTAGTTGCGTAATTTCTTTTTTTACTCTTTTGTAAAGCAGTGCGGGCTTTAAATTAAGAATAGCAATTCAGTGCTTTCCACGTGGAAGCCATTTACATTTGATTACAAATTAGGGATCAGATCTGTGGTTGCTGCTGAAAACACAGGCTTAGCACCTCTTTGGACTTTAGTTTCTGGTTATACCCTTAAACGATCAAGCCGTAACTTGAGGGGCTGGTTGGATTACTTTGCTGCATTCATTTACGTAATAAGACAAAACACTCAGTACGATCTGGTACATTCTAGTGGTTAATGAATTTAAAATATGACAGTGTTTCTGCAGTGCGTTTGGCCTTTAGGAGTCACTCTTCTTTTTGCTCTTCTTCAGGAAGGAAGGAGTGCGAAACTTCTTTTTCTTTTTCGATGGGGACTTCCCTGGAGATTCATCACTACCTGCATCGGCTGCTGTCCCCTCCTCAGCTGTCGGTGTTACTGGCTCTTCAGTGGGCTGAGACTGGGGTTCCTTATTTTCCACTGCAGGCGATTCCGTTTGGCTTTTGGGCACATCTTCATCACATCTCCCTTCCTCCTTTCCTAAGGGAGGGAAGCCGAGTGCTTCTGAAGGCTCATCAGGGGTGAGATCTGGGAGGGTTTGCTTGAAAGTTGCAGCGTCACTGTCATCTTTGTAAGTCTGGTCCTGCTGTGTCTCTAGTGGACGGACAGACAATGACACAGTTAGTTTACGTAAGTGTCCTTACAACAGAGAAAGCCAAGCACGTTGATGGTGAGCGCTCTCTATAAAAAAATTAACATATTTACATTGCATAAAAGCCTTTGTAATAGGTCTGTTCTCCTTTAGCTTTGGGCACAGAGACAGAAATAACATATTCAAAAGTTTTGCTTTTTTTTCAGCTTCTTACCACAGGGCAGATAAAGCTGAATTCCATCATGTGGGTATAAACAAGCAAGAATGTAACTGATTCGTCTTCTCTCATCATTTATTTATAACAGTTGCAAGCAACATGAGACTTTAGTACAGTAAGCAGGAATTCAACCCGCAATTTTCATTGGCATTAAAGAGAGCGTCATGGAATTCCCTATCTTGATTCCTTTTTCTTTTGGTGGGATAAAACTAATTGCTGGTTTGCAGTGATGGGATACTTGCAAACCCATTAACTTCTAAACTGTTGGCTTGCCAATTTTTAATCACGATGCTTGGGTTTGCAGAATGTTCTTCCACGAGATCTAGGAGACGTTGCTTCACAATACGACTTCCTATCACAAAGGCTTCACTTCTTTTGCAAGATACGAGTACATATTATGGAGTCCTATAAGTAAACCCCATGTAGTTTATCAAATTAAATGAGCTCAGCAGGTCTTGCGATACAGCTTTTTTTTTTTTTTTTTAAAATGTATTTAATGTCTAACAGCAAAACTCACCCCTGTATAAAGGCACATCAAAAATCTAGTGGTAACTTTTATGTCCAAAGGCGAACTTTACCACTACTCCCTCAATTCTAACACTTTCCTCATTGACCGCCATGCTTTAGAGATGTGCTGTTTAAAGCTCCTCTTCATGTATATATATATATATTTAACAACGAGCGCTTTTTAAAGTTCCCTGCAATGTTCATCACTGCACTGTAGCCAAGAAGTATCTTGTTAGCTGTGTCAAATATATCCCCATTGATGTTACGTAAGGAGGAATTTAGAACAAAATCCAGGCCACGCTCATTGTAAGGCACAAAAGAAAGGCAACTATTTTTTCCCCCTTTAAAAAGTCTTGTTCATTTTAATTTGAAAAGACTGAAAGCTTTCACAAGAATTTACAGAAAATACTTGATACTTTCCCACTTTTCCTATGGAAATGACGAGTGTTCTTTTTATTTCTGCCAGAAATTAATAATCCTGTAGTACATTTTAGAGGGCTCTGTTCTGTAAGTACCTGCTAGAAAACCCAACGTGTTTTTCCTAGAGCACCAGGAACTTCTAATAGGTTAAATAAACAAAACACTAGTATTCAGTGCCAAACACTCAGAATGCACAAGTTAGCAGTTTAAAAGTTATAATGCAGGCAGGATTTAAAACCGAGTAAAAAAGAGAAAGCGATTATGTGCATTACAAGCTGCCTCCGGAAGTTTGAGTTTAGCCCGTATATGTATGTGACACACAAATTTGTAAGAAGCACCACCAACAGTTCTTCACTGCCCCTACACTCTTTCTGGATTTCATTTTATTTTTCAGGAATTAACTGAAAGCATTTGTGGTCTCTTCTCTCTGGGATCCAGTGCCAGGACATGTGGCAATGGTTCAAAGCTGCGCCAGGGGAGGTTCAGACTGGACATTAGGAAGCATTTCTTTACCGAGAGGGTGGCCAAAACCTGGAAGAGGCTTCCTGGAGAGGTGGTGGATGCCCCAAGCCTGTCCGTGTTTAAGAGGCATTTGGACAATGCCCTTAGCAACAGGCTTTAACTCAGTCAGCCCTGAAGTGGTCGGGCAGTTGGGACTAACCGGTCACTGCAGGCCCCTTCCAACTGAAATAGTCTATTCTATTAATTAACTGGCCCGATCTTTGGAACGGGCACCATATTAGATTGTCAGTCAGTTTATTTTATCATTTAAAATAAAGTTTTAAATGAAGTTTTTAGAAAGGGATTAGAAATTCTTAAAATTAGAGAATAGGAAGCTACAAGCATTCAAACAGTTGAAGTTGGCCTAAGCATTGGATAAAAATAAACAGGTTTATAACTCATTAATCCAGGACTGCTATCCTTCCCAGTTTGCCAAATTACCATCATCTTTACTAAACGGATTAACATTATGCTGGAATCAGCCAAACATCTGTTTATCTAGTTTGCTAAGAGCAATATTTTATCAGAATTAGGGAGATTTACAAATTCCACATATGATAAAGAAAGCATACACTATGTAAACTTGCTATTCTACTTGATGGATTTCAGTAACATAACTAGGAAGGTTTAAAAATATATCTTGCTGCAAAACCTATTTACAGTTAAAGAACTCAGCAGTACTTCAAAATTTCTTAAGTTTTTTAGAATAATCGTGTCCACATCTCCCTTTATCTATACTGTGGCATAAGAGTTTGAAAAATAACTATACCGGTGTGTGTTTACAATTCACATTAGTTATAAAAGTAAAGGAGTTTGGGGTTTTTTCAACACAAACATGTGGACAAACATACAAACTAGCCTATAACTGAGTTAACACAAAACACTTTCTGACTTCAGCTACACTTAAATAGAAACAATATGAGGAAAACAAACTTGAGAAGTGGCTGTATACAGAGAACACTGTCATTCAACGGAACTTGTGCCAACCAAAGTTGTCAAGGCATGAATTTCCAGTTACTCTCTAAAATAAGCTTTGTATGTTTGTCCTGGAAAACTTATACAACTATAAGAGTTTGCGGAACACGGTTCTCAGTTTAAAAGAATTTTCAGGTTTTAGAACTTTATTGGTAACATCACAGTTGTCTATGACACAGTTTGACTTTTGTGTCTGTGACAAACACACCGACTTTCAGCTATAACAGGACATACAAATGGAGGGGGGCAGACAGCCTTATTACTTTAAAGCATAATCTGATGGAGCCCTGCAGATCTAGCCAAAATAGCTGTAGAAGTTGCCGCCACCAAGTACTT